GACAAGGAGGAGGAGGAGGAGGAGGAAGAGGAGGAGGAAGACGAGGAGGAGGAGGAGGAGGAGGAGGAGGAGGAGGAGCGCAAGGACTGGAAGAGGAAGATGAGGCCAAGGAGGAGGAAAAGGAAGATTTAGAAGGAAGCAGAACAAGAAGGTTGTGATGTGGGGAAGGATGAAAACAGCTTTGACAAGAGAGTGAAAGAACTCTCCGGGAAAACGAATATCTTGGCCCGCGCAACGATGAAGAGTGCAGCGAACAATAAAAACAAAAGAAAAGAAGAGAGAGTGGCAAAGAAAGAGAAACAAGGGAAGCAGTAGAAGTAGGGAGAAAGAAAAAAGGAAGACGAAAAGGAAGGGAAGGAAAGGGTAAGGAAGTAAGGGAATCCCAAAGGAAACAACAACAACAACAACAACAACAACAACAACAACAACAACAACAACAACAACAACAACAGCAGCAGCAGTTGAAAGGTGCCATTTCATGCTGAAAGGTTTTAATTGGCAAATTTCCCAAGAAAAAATAGCTGACAGATCTAATATGGATTCTAGAAGGATGAGAAAGAGGACAATAAATAAAGTAACAGTTAGGTCTTCAGTCCTGACATGTTTGCTTTGACAGATCTCATTTATTTGTAAGAAACCATTCTGTCAAAGCCAATAGGTCAGGAGTCAGGACTGAAGACCTAAACTGTTGATAAACAGACCCAAGTTCTTTTTTTTTTTTTTTTTTTTTTTTAAGGGTAACGGGCTTGAGATATCACCATCGAACTGACCGACACCATGTACATTCAGAGTTACGTTACTCATCTGATTCCATCTGGATTCGAACTGAGGTCTGCTTATCAGCAGTTCGTGGGCGAACCAGTCAGCCACATCGATTGAGCAAACCAGAGTTCATATCCTGATAGAGTGCAGGAAACAAAAAAAAAAAAAAAAAAAAAAAGACGAACAGTTGACAAGTGGGAGTCCCTGCTGAAAAAATAAAAAGATAATGCAAATGTGTCGAGCCCATGGTGCGCACGAAATTCTACAAATGCCCCTGATATGTATGTGATATATATGTCCTGAAACCTCCAAGCATCCCAAGGTGGGCAGGAAATTTACAACTCCCTTTGATAGGAAAAAAAAAAAAAGATAATGCAAATGTGTCGAGCCCAAGGTGCTCACGAAATTCTACAAATGCCCCTCATATGCGTGTTGTATATAAGTCCTGAAACCTCCAATCATCCCAAGGTGTGCAGGGAATTTACAACTCCCCCTGACAGGTGTGCACGAGCAGGTGCAGCTCCCCACCTATAGATGAAGCAACCAGGAACGGTTACTAGAGAAGGCTGCTTTTACCAACCCCTCTAGTAGAAGGTCGCTGGTTTGGGGACGAAAAAAAAAAAAAAGGTCTGCACAAGCAGTAGAGGAAGGAGGTTTCTCTAAGTATGACCAACCATAAATGTTCTCGACCCTTCAACGAATGCACTCCAAACTTACGACAGAGTCACACTAGGACTTCCCTGGACATATCTGACAGCAATCGCGACCGATTCTGGATGTGTCGGACTGCAATTGCGTCCGGAGCTGAGGCGAAAAAGTCTCAAGTGTGAGTATGCCCTTGTCTCCCAAGTTGGGGGATGATAGTTATTGTTGTATGTAGACTGAAAGTTGCCCCAAATACAGCCGCTTTCTATTCGGGGGAAGACGGTAGCAGTACTAAACGTGGACGACCTAAGAGATATCAAGTTGGTTGTTCCTTCCACCTTGGGGCTATGAGTGGGATTGGGCCAGGGGGTTGAGGGGCAAGCGGGCAATTTGATCACACAGGTGAAAGCTACCTGTACGCAACCGGCCACAAGACTTCAATCTGCACTTATACGTCACAAAGAATGACGCCATACTCACACTAGTACTTTTCTAAATGTATCTGACTGCAATTACGGCCAAACCTGGATGAATCCGACCGCAATCATGTGCCGAGCTTAGCAGGGAAGAAGTCCAAGTACAAATGTGCCCTCAGTGTGTGTAATCTTCCTTTCCTTCTCTTTTCTCTTTTCTTTTCTGTTCTGTTCTGTTCTGTTCTTTGCTTTTCGTTTCTTTTCATTTCTTTTCTCTTTTCTTTTCTTTTCTGTTTCTTTCCTTTTCTTTGCTTTGCTAAGTTTTGTTCCTTTTTTCCAGGGGGAGGGGGAAACAAACACATGAATGTTTGCAGCCAACTAGACTTCAACCTCCACCACTCACCTCAACGTCATAGTGGACGAGCGTGTAATCCATATCATACCCGATGGTTGATATAGATCGAAGGTTCAGAGTACGACTGCAGAAGATTCCCCTCGATCGCTCCCCATGAGGAAAGACTGCCTGTCAAAACATGCAGACGCACACACACACACACACACACAGACACAGACACACATACACAGAGGGAGCCTTGCCACTTGTAATGTTGTTCTCTCTCCTTCACTGCAAAAACAAATGAGCGAAAGAGAAACAAAAAAAAGAGTCTCTCTCTCTCTCTCTCTCTCTCTCTCTCTCTCTCTCTCTCTCTCTCTCTCTCTCTCTCTCTCTCTCTCTCTCTCTCTCTCTCTCTAAATATCTATCTATCTATCTATACATATATACATGGTTACCAGGTCGAACGTTCGGGGGCTCCAGGGCTGAACCCCGAACGTTCGGCCGTTCGGGGTCCAAACCTGAAGGGGGTTGGCCCCCGCCAAAAATTATTTTGTTCAGGTTTGGACCCCGCCAAAAATTATTTTGGGCCCTAAAAATTATCGTTTTTTTTTTTGTTTTTTTTTTTTTTGTGAGTTCTGTATGACATGCGCTACATGCATATAAATTTTCAAGGCATTTTGCCCAGCCAAAAAAATGAAAAATCGCCAAAGCTGGTGGTGTCAAAATGTGCTCGGCCACTCAGTTTTGTTTTGTTCTTTGAATTTTTTTCACTTTTCAGTGTTTCACTTTTTGTTTTGATTTTATTTTGGTGCCTCAAATATTTTATTATTTTTTGAAACTTTTTTTACGAGCGTTATATTATGTGAAATACACATCTGTAAATTTTCAGGGCATTTGGCTATTGCAAGAAAAAATGAAAAATCGCCAAAGATGGCAGTGTCAAAAACGTGCTCGCCCACTCACTAATTTTAATTCTCTTTTCATTTTTTCTTATTTTTCTTATTACTATTTGTTTTTTGTATTTTATTTTTACTTCAAATTTGGTAAGGAATTCGGATGTAGCACTGAGGTAAATGTTGTCGTTTTATTGCTTTGCATAATATATATATATATTGTCACATCACTACAAACTAAAAGAGCGCACTTTGCGGAACAAAGAATAAAAGCAAAAAACAGGCACAGTGATAACATGCAAAAA